CTGGGGCTTGGAGAGGTTGAGCAAATATTCCAGGTGTCTGTTCTCTACCATGCCTGCAGAGATGCATAAAGACGCAGTCCTTGACTTTAAGGGACACACAATCTTGGAGAGGGGGAAGGATGTATAAACTAACTAATACATTAATGCTTTGCTAGAAATCTGTGCGGAATAAACAAAAAACCAAATCGAGAAAGACTTCACCGATGTTGGGGTTCTTGAGCAAATGGCTAAGAAAGAATTCTTGAGACATCCTTGGTGCAAAAAGGTGATTTTAATAAAGCATGCCAGGACCCGTGGGCAGAAAGAGCTGCCCTAGGGTTGTGAGGAGTGGCTGATTATATACTTTTAAGTTTGTGGAGGGAGGGGTAAAGATAAAGTAAAGTTATAAGGAACTTGGAAGCAAGGCTTTCGTGACCTTGAGGGGCTAGCTACTGGTAAGGTAAGGCTACTTTTAGTGTTTAATAAAACATCAAGGAAGTAAGGCAGCCATGAGCTGCTTGGGTAAGGTCACATTTTGCATGTTTCAGGTGTCTATCAGTGGGCTACAAGCTGTGAGATTTAATTTAAGCTACATTTCTCTTGCCTTTGTTCCCCTCACCAACTGAGATGCAGAGGGACAGGGGCCAGTGTGGGGAAGGACCTGTGGCTGGGCTGAGGGGCTTGGCTTTTATCACTTGGGCCTCAGGGCACAAGGGAGTGACCTGATCTGTTAGAGAGGTCTGCCTGGCAATGCCTAAAGGAAAGAAATCAAGCAGATGGCTATTTGCCTAAACCAAGAAGAAAGTAAGTGCATTCTTGGGACCTAAGGTGTCTCCCACAGATATGCATATTCACTTGAACCCTGAGTGTAATCCTAGGTGACCCCCTTGGAGAATATCCCAGGTGAAGAGATGGAAGAAGGAGTTCGAGCTTTGGCCCCAGAAAATGCAGGGCCTTGAGTCCTGCTTCATAATAGATATAGGACTTTAGACCTAGTAGCTGTGGGGCTTGACCTTTCCTGAACTTGTTTTCTTTCTTTCTTTCTCTTTCTTTCTTTCTTTCTTTCTTTCTTTTTCTTCCCTTTCTTCTTCTTTCCTCTTCTTTTCTTCTTTCTTTCTTTCTTTCTTTCTTTCTTTTCTTTTCTTTCTTCCTCTTCTTTTCTTCTTCTTTTCTTCTTTTCTTTCTTTCTTTCTTTTCTTTTTTTCTTTTTTTTAAATTAATTTATTTATTATTTTTTTAAATTTACATCCAAATTAGTTAGCATCTAGTGCAACAATGATTTTACAGATTCCTTAGTGCCCCTTCCTCATTGAGCTCTCCTCCCCTCCTCCACTAATTCCCCCTCCAGGAACCCTCAGTTTGTTCTCCATATTTATGAGTCTCCTTCTGTTTGGTCCCCTCCTGTTTTTGTTATTATTTTTGTTTCCTTCCCTATGTTCATTTTGTTTTGTCTCTCTAAAAATCCTCATACGAAAAGTGCAGTCATACTTCCATTTTTTGCCTTCTCTGACTGGACTAATTTTCTTGGCAGAATAATACCCTCCAGTTCCTGCCCAGGCACTGTCACAGTGTTTTTACACAAGGGAAAAGATGAAACCTATAGAATTTTCAGAAAAGGATCCAAATCAGTCGTGGTTGCCACACCTAGACATTTTCTTATCCTTAGCTGAAACAGACAATATACGCACCGATGAGATAATTGAATATTTGAATGCTGCCTATATTTGATATTAAAAGTGCTTATTTTTTGTGGTGTGTGCTATTATGGTTCTGTTTGAAAAGAGTCTCCTATCTTTTAGAGATACATACTGAAATATTTCAGATGAAATTATATGATGTATGAAATTTGTTTCAAGATAATAGAGGGATTAAGTGCACCTGGTTGTCTAGGTTTTGCCAAACGCCTCAACTTCCTCCGCCGCCTTCAGGTCATGATCTCAGATGTTCATGAATTTGAGCCTTCTTACTGGGCTCTCTTCAGGCATAAATATCTGGGCTTGGGATCCTCTGTCCCTCTTCCTTTTCTTCTCTCCTTCTCTCTCTCTCAAAAATAAATAGGAGATTACAAAAAATAATAATACGAGAGGTAAGTGGATGGAGTTATAAGTGAAATAAGATTGGTCAGCAGGACTAAGAGAGTATGCTCAGGCTCCAGTCACAGTGTCCCACTTGCCTAGGTCATGATCCTCTAGAGTCTTGAGTTAACTCAGCTCGACTTGAATAGTTAGAGCCTGAGTTTGATTTGATTGTGTCTCCTCTCCTTTCTTCTCCTGTTTCCCTTCTCTTCTTCTCTCTCTCAAAATAAATAAACATTAAAAAAAAAAAAAGATTGGCCGCGTGTGTTAAAACTTGTTGACCTGGTGATGGAAATGGGCTTATTTACCTTGTGGATATATTAAAAATTATCCATAATAAAACAATTAAAGGTATTTGCTATGAACTAAATATTTTTTTTGAGATTTTATTTTATTTATTTATTTTTAACGTTTATTTATTTTTGAGACAGAGAGAGACAGAGCATGAACAGGGGAGGGGCAGAGAGGGAGACACAGAACCCGGCGCAGGCTCCAGGCTCCGGTTATCGCGGTGCCCAGAGTCTCCATCGCCGGGCTCGGGGAACTCACAGGATCAAGGAGATCGACCTGAGCTGAAGTCGGACGCTTAAAATCGATTCGGAGCCACCTGTTCTGAGATTTTATTTTTAAGTAATCTCTACACCCAACGTGGGGCTCCAACTCACAACCCCCTGATCAAGAGTCTCACACTCTACCAACTGAACCAGCCAGGTGTCCCTGAACTAAACACTTTTAAGCATGTTTGCACACATTATTTTATTGCCTTCTCACTATAGCCCTGTGCGTGAGGCACAACTTTCCCCATTTTCAAGAGGCCTTTCTTGGATGAAGTCGCCCCCGGCTTTGACTTATACAGTCTTCTAGGTACTCATTCTCCTTGCCCTCTCTCTCTTGCCCCCTTCAATCCATTCTTCACACGGCAGCCCAAATACTTCAAGTGTATCAATTTAATTCTCACAACAACTCAGTACTATTATTATTGGTTTTCAGATGAGGAAATTGAGGCACAGACGTTAATGTCCCCAAGACTACACAGCTAGTAAATGGCTGAGCTGTACTATGTTAAGCCTGGCTCAGTTTGCCACTCCTATGTGTGCTTAAACCAGACTCCTATAAATGGAAAAAAAAAAAAAATCACATATGAATATACAGGGTCTGCCATATACTGGTTTAGTGGATTGGTTAAGAACATGGACACGGGAGCCAGACTGTGAGCCTTGAGCAAGTTATTGAACCTTGTGATGCCTCAGTGTCCTCATTTGTAAATAGGGGTAATAATAGTCTCTACCTCATGGTGTCTTTGTGACGAGTGGTTGCATTAATCTGTGGAAAGGAGTAAGTGCTATGAGTGTGGGCTGTCATCAAATGTTACCTTGAGCTTCTCTCCTTTGCTTCTGAGAGCTGCTTTCTCCCTAGCACCTTCCACTCCAGCAAAACCACTTGCAATTCCCTAAAAGAGCCTCTGAGTTGCCTCTGCCTTTCCCACCCCTCCCGGCCAGCAAACCCTCACCCATCCTCCCAGCCCCAAAGTTCGGTCACTACCTCTGTGAGGATCCCGCAGGGAGAGGTTTCCTTGTTACCCGACTGCACGTCTGATCTCTTACCTTGCCCTGTGTGTGATTACCTGTTTCGGTATCTGTCTCCCCCTACTAGACTCAGGGCCCCTAAAGGGCAGAGACCTGTCCAGACCTGTCTTCATCTCCTTCTCCAGCAGAGAGCTGGGATCACGCAGTGTTTAATAAATGTTGGTTGAATAAACTGTCAGGAGCATGCCTCTCTGGGGAGCTGTGTGCTGAAGTTGGAAGGTGTTCAAATGTGGAAATAAATCTAAATAAATGAGAAAGCCCCCAAATGACTGGGGGTGTGTGTGTGTTTCACTGTAATTGCCTAGAAACTTACCAATCTAGACCCCCATTAGGGTTTGTATCTCGTTTGTTCTTTAAACCCTGGTACTCGGGGCGCCTGGGTGGCTCAGTGGGTTAAGCGTCCGACTTCGGCTCAGGTCACGATCTCACGGTCCGTGAGTTTGAGCCCTGCGTCGGGCTCTGTGCTGACTGCTCAGAGCCTGGAGCC